CTTTTTTTGCTCCTTTTCATAGTGCCGGTAACGGCTTGATCAAACAGAATTGCCACTTTTCCGTGAATCGAAGAATTCCTCTGTTTTCACCGTATTTTTATTGAAATAATGAATCCAAAATTACACCATTTAATACTCTGAGCTCGGCAACCATCCACAAATTGTGTGAAATGATTGAAGTGTCGATTCGATTGAGTATAACTCAATTTAATGTTTCAAAATTCTTAGGATTCTTGAAAAAGAATATTAAAAGCAAAATATAATATTGCATTTTCAAAACAGAAATTTTTATAAAGGTGAATTGAGGATCACATATATGTTAACTATTTTCCATAGAGAATATCAAATTTTGTTGTGATGATTAAATTGTTCTAAAGATATGAAATGGTCCCTCAACAATTTGTTTTAGGTTAAAAAATTTTTAACTCAAATAATAATCCAATCATCATAGAATTTTAAAAGTTATGAGCTGAAGGGTAGTTAACAAATTAAATGCTTTTTTTTTAAATGTTTAAAGTCCTTTGGAGTTAGTAAAATTCTTCATAGTAGAAAAATATAAATTATTTCATAATTTGTGTTGTTTAAACAGAATTTAACAATTTAAATAAGATATTTTGAATAATAAAGGTACTCTTATTTGCAATTTCCCCCCAATATTTTGAAGGTAAAAGAAGAAAAAAAATAGGTTGCATCACCGACACGATTATTTCATTTAAAATTTATTAATTCTTTAAAAAAGACTCATGTAAGTTCATCACTTCCTTTAAAAAAATTACTTAAACCTCTAATAAAGAGTTAATATAATTCAGATAATTAATATCTGAATTTTATGATACATTATTAGCTAACTAAGAATTAAGGTCACTGAAATTTTTTTAAATTTAAGAATACGTCGTTGAAACAATAATAAAAGAGAACTGGTTTTCGAGATTTTGGCTTGTAATATCGGTCATCTTGCTTTGAATTATCATAAATGGTTACCCTTGGAGGAGAAAAAAAAACTAAATTTAAAAACACAATTCACAACAACATTTGCCGAGTCGGGTCTGAGATCCCGAAATAAACAAAACTCGGATAATATTGAAATCCGTAAATCTCATCACCAATGAAATTTCCGATAATAAAAGAATTTCGGCAAAGTCGGGATTTTGGCTTGTATTATCGGTCATCTTGCTTTGAATTATCATAAATGGTTACTCTTGGGGGGGGAAAAAAAACTAAATTTAAAAACACAATTCACAACAATATTTGCCGAGTCGGGTCTGAGATCCCGTAATGGACGTAACTCAGATAACATTGAAATCCGTTTAAATCTCATCACCAATGAAAAATCCGACAATGAAAGAATTTCGGCAAAGTCGGGATTTTGACTTGTAAATAAAAAAAGAAAGAAAAAAGCCGACTCAACCTGAATTTGCCGACTGGACGATATCTCGGGGGGGGGGGGGGGGGGAANAATCCTTAGAGGGGGGGGGGGGGTGAGACACCCCTCTCACCCCCACCCCCCGTTGAGGACGGGCCTGAGTAGATTTGTTAATGCTTAGTACATATTTGTAATATACTTGTATTGTACGTTAACTATGTTAAACATTGTTTATTAAACGATTTTAAGTCAAAGTGAATGAAAATAACTGAGCTAAGTCATTATTTTATTGCATTGCACAAAGTCACCCAATCCCGGGGTGACTGCGCATTCGACTAATTGATTGTTTACAAATAATAAACATTTCAAACCAGCTCTTAACTAGGTGCAATTACTTCCCAGATGGCTAACAACAAATTTTAGATTAGATGCTGTACAATTCAGCATCTTTTAACTATTTTTTTTATTAGGTCCAAGTTGGAAAACTGAAAATTCCTGCACAAAGTCACCCCATCTGACGGTACATAGATTAAATTGGTGAAAAAGTTTTTATACCTTACAGTTCAAAATTTTTCAATTATTAAATTAAAAAATCTTAAATTATTAATTGTGTGTAAAAACTTTTTAATTAGCTTTATTTCTGCAGATACGGTGGAATACTCGCACACTAAAATTAATAATTCCTAACCAAACAATTGGGACTATATTTTCCAGATAACAGCAACCTCCATTTTTTTTAGAGTAATTCAAATCTGTAAAAAAAGTATGTTTATTCAGAGAAAGTATGTGTTAGGGGGTCTGATTTCATAAATCAAAACAATATCTGCACTAAATAATTAGCATATTTAAGGTTCGGCCTTTAAACTATTGAGTCCCAGTATGTAAAAATATGATCCTTGGGCCAAATGTTATTCCAGGTGTGTTAACTTTTTTCTGTTGAGCACTGTACATGAATAGAATACTACACTTACGTTTAAATTGTCTTGTGATGTCAGGCAGATTTTGCAAAAAAGTTTAGCATTATTTTGAGACAGTCAAAAATAAGATGTTTTTGAACAGTTCAGGCATTTATCATTCAAATCATTGTTGTTAATAGAATAATAAATTAGTCATAAAATCTACCAGGAAAAGGTACACACATTAATTAATCTTAAAAAAGGAGAAAACCCCTTCTAACTGCATTTAAATATCAATAAACCTTAAAATATACATGAGCAGTTATCATAATGAGAGCATAACAGATTAATTGCAAAAGCTTTCGATTAAGATTTAAAAAAATTATCTCTTCAATCTTTACAATTACACCTAAAAAAAATTATTCCTTTGGCTAGCTACAAATCCAGTAGGGTATTTTGCTGTAGTCTAATATATTAAAAGAAAAAAGAAATCTTAGGAATTGAAGTTTTTTCTGATCAAATGCAAATATTTTTATATTGACCGTTTTGAATCTCTAAATTTAGCTTAAATAAAATTGTAACAAAATTTTATTACACTGAGGCTAATATACAGAGTAAATAAAAAATATTTCAATCTTTTGCTTTAATTAATAGCAAAATGTTTAAAATAAGCCATGAAATACTTTTCAATCTTTACTAATTATTAACTACAAAATATTTAAATAAATAATAAGCCTAATTTAATAAAAAAGTAAACATTTCTACTTATTTTACTCTAATATTTAATTATTTCTATATTTATTATGATTTCAATATTTATAATTGCATAATCAACAGACTGACATATTTCAAAATTGTGTAACCTACTGGTCAGCTGAGTTTAAAATATGCAATACACAGGTCGATTATGCCCAAAATCTGTAACTTACTGCATTATTTAATTTGATACTTCAGGGTTCCTACACTATTTTGAGAAAACAATATCCTGACTTTTGCAGGTTTTTCCTGACCTTTTACAATAAAATTCCTGACCCGCCGTTTCCCACTCCAACAAAACTTTTAACATTGCAGTTTCAATTAGTAATAATATGCTACTTAGTCATAAGTATCATAGATTGAATAGGATAAACACTTATATATTAAAGTGGAATTGCGTAATAGCACTTTATATCCCAAATTATATTCTCAGAAAACTTGTGAAACATATTTTTAATTATCTGGATTAGATTAAACTTTTAGCGTGCGTGTTTTTGTAGTTAGATACGAAAACTATTTAAATAAAAAGATCAAGAAAATCTTTTGGACTATGGAAATATTATTTTATTTAATGTTAAGCGGAACCAAATGCACAAGTGTCGTCAGGATATAAAGGGTTAATCAAATCTGTGAGATATGTATCAGTATACTCAAATAATATTTACTCTTAAAACATAACTAGAACATTTGTTACATTAAAATATGAATTTTTAAAAATCACGATTTCACTTAAAACTGACTTTTCATTTAAAAGACAATATTGAAATATAAAGGGGAAAAAAGTCAAGAAAAGTTAATCATATACAAATAAAAATTCAAATAGAAAAATTATGCAACTTGTGAGAAAAATAAAATCAAAAATATCTTTTTTTTTTAGTATTTTTAAATTTATTTCTGTAATACTGCAAGCTTCCGGAGAAACTCAGGGGCTCCTATGTTATATAATATTTCTCAACATATTTTGTTGTTTGACAATTTCTGAATCAAGAACATCCAGTTCTGTTGCAGCAGTTTTCGTCAATTTAGATTTTCTTAATTTCAAATCATCTATCTTTTCTTTTACTCGTTTTCTAGAAATTTCAGCCTTTTTATTCCTTCGTTTTTTTTTTTTGGGGGGGGGG